ATCTGGAAATCCAAGTGGATTAAAGCACACTTTATGCCGAGACACTCGCTAGCATCCATCTGGATGTTACAAGATGGTGTTTTGGATCATTTATTCTGTTTATATATGGCATGGGGTGCTGTCACTAGAAAAGCTACGGCTGCAGGGAAGGCAAGAGATTATTCTGGATTTCTCTTTCCCATAGACAAGACTATCAGAATTAGACCCAACCCATATTTGTATAACTCGCTCTTAACCACCTACAGCTATGAAAATCCACAGCCTCCTTAGGGAATTCTTCTAGTCCTTCAACATTTCAGGACAATGGAGGAGCGGCAGGTAGACTGATAGAAACCAAAGGAAATCATGAGGCTCTTCCATCCTCAGAACACAGGAGGAGCTTCCACACCTTCAACCTGAAGTTGTCACTTTTTACATCAATTTTTTTCCTACTCAAAGGAGGGCGAAATCAGAGACATGACATCACAATATTTCATTTTTCTGCAAAGCTATTTTTTTTTTTTAAATTGGCCTCTTTCCCCACAGATCCATTTTTTCTGCGCTGTAGCTCTTCCTCCGACACGGACGTAATGCGAGTTCACATTACCAAAGCCTGCTGGGGTTATACAATATAGTCACTAGCTCTTCATCCCTGAAGATGTCAAGAGAGGAAATGATGCTAAGATTCTTTGAGTACCTAGCTATTAAGGTATTTACCTCTGGAGTGGAGTATTTCCTGAATGAAGTGTGAAGGTGGTTAGATTGCTCCCATTACAAAGCAGCCTCTTACCGCAGCCCTGAGCTGTTGAACACGTGGCTTGTTGGTTGTATGGCAGCAAGAAGCTGTTGCTTCACATTCAGGAATTGAGTTTTTTATAGTTTAAAAGTAAAATTATCTCTTTTTTTTTATGGTTACAGCAAAATAAAGTCAAATTAAAACCCGAAATAAATCTGTAATTGGATAGATTTGTGGAGTTTGAATGCCTTCTTTTCATCACCACGGATGGGCACATTTTTCACTGGTTGCCAGTCTAAACTGATGCCCCAAACCCTGCAGGAAAGTACATCTCCAGGGAGCAAGGAGACAGCTCACGGCCACACTAGAAACACCAGCAGTCGTACAAAGCTAACGAGCCTTTTTCAAAATTCTTGACTCCTCAGCACCAACATCAGCTGGATGACAGCAGCTCTGTGTTCTTTGAAACACGACAGTATCTTTGCGTGGCATCACCTTCTGTACACCCAGCGATCTGAGATGGTGGCACCACGCTGTGCCTTGAAGCAGAGAGAAGCCTACAGACAACTATCCTTGCACTGTTCATCAAATCATCAAGGTTGGGAAAGACCTCAAGGACCATCAAGTCCAACCGTCAACCCAACACCAGCCATTTAGAGATGATAAATCCATAGGGATGAACTGGTCTGAAGTCCACCATCAAACCAGTCTCCCATTTTCTGCTCTGGAAGCAGCAGGCACAAGGATGCTGGATGCATTCCTCTTGCCTAATGCCAGCGTACTGCATCTAGCTGTCAGCAACGGTTCCACCAGGAGAAACAGCACGGTAGCTGCTCCACGTGGGAAGGAGGAAGGTGAATGATGTCTCACCAGACAGTAACTGGCATCGGTGGAAGCTCTCTGCCTTGCAGAGATGCAGGGAGGAATCTGAGGAATTTCCAGAGCACTCAACCAGATACCCAGTGGTGCTACGAGCATCACCACGGAGCCTTGGGCTGGAACTTGTATTCCTACATATGAAGCCAGCGGGTTTCAGACTTTGCCTTGAATTAAATCTTTCCTCAGAAAAATCTTTAGGAACTAGACTCAGAGCTAAATGCATGATCCACGTCGCTTCCAAGCCTGCTACTTGAGTCTCCTGTTAGGGGAGACCTCCAAGGATGCTCATAGACACGTCAGATACCCTGGGCTGCTTGAAATGGAGAGAAACCAAACAGAAATCCAACAGTGGTCATGTCCCCAGTAAGCCTGGTGCTCAGGGACTTCATCTGAACAGGCGCAGTGATGGAGCAGGAATTCATTTGCTCCTCGGAAGGGTTAAGGTCTTTGCTGTCACGGTAATTATTCTCGGGAGGTCAGTCCCAACCACCTCACCTGGCTGCAAACCCGCAGGCTGCCCAGCCAGGAGCCTCTTTGAGAAGTGTAACTTTTACCATCCCTGAGCAAAGCGAGCGCTCTGTTTGCCTTGGCAGGGAAGAGCCGTGTATACACAGCTGGAGAGCTTGTTTTGTCTCTTCGTACAAGTCTGGACTAATCCAAATCTCTAAAGGCTTTGTAAAAATGCTCTCTTTATTTAAAGAATTTTCTACATTACAAGATGTCTCCAAAGTCTGCCCCTGCTCAGACCCCTTCCTTCCCTGCCTCTCCCACTCCCTCTCCCCCCCAGCACAGAGCCAGCCCAGCCGGATCGTTCGGTCCCTCCTGGCATCGCTCTATCCAGAAGTTTCTTTAAGACATTTCCAGCTTCCTCTTCAAGCACAGCCAATGCCCGTATCGATTTACCCATCTCCACACTCGAGATACATGCAAGCTAGGAAAAAAGAAAGCAGCTCTACAGACACAGCTCTGGAGATCGGGTTTAGGGATTTAGGGTGAGGTAGAGCCTTGAAAAGAGACAAGCTGTTGTCATAACACCTCTCCAACCTAAAGCAGCACAGATCCGAATGGTTTGGGTGGGAAGGGACCTTAAAGCCCACCGAGTGCCCCCCCCTTCCATGGGCAGGGACACCTCCCACTAGCCCAGGTTGCCCAAAGCCTCATCCAGCCTGGCCTTGAACCCCTCCAGGGATGGGGCATCCACAGCTTCTCTGGGCACCCTGGGCCACTGCCTCACCCCCCGCACAGGAAAACATTTCTTCCTCACATCTCATCTCCATCTCCCCTCTTACCCTTCATTCTGTCTCTACACGCCCTTGTAAAAAGTTTGCAGGAGAGCACAAAGGAGACTGGAACAAGGAAAGGCTCCTCCAGTAAATGCGTGGGGGCTTTTAAAGAGCTTTCCCTCCTCTGCAGCCAATAAATGTGAGGCTCAAACCACAGCAGAGGCCTTTTACGGGGCACCTGCGCTGTGAGGTTCAGTCGATGCTTTTGCAGCCCAGGGAAGGTTGCAGAGCGATGCTGAGCTCCGCGTGTTGCTGCTGGCGGCTGTTCAAGCTGGGCTGACTGATGCCTGGGCTACCGGAAACCAACTGTTATTCCTATCTCACCCTCTAAATCATGTTGCCAAAAATCCCCAACTTGGAGAAAAAAACCAACCCCAAACATTAAAAGCAAGAACAGCCCAATCCTTGGAGTGAAACAGAATCAGCCCAATCTCAGGAAAGTGAGAGGCTAGAAAAGCAGAATATTTCCAGGGTGCTTTGATCTTAACCCTGGGAGTTTGCATGTTGGCTTCGTGTTTCGGTTTCATTTCTGCTCCGTGCCACTCCGACCCTTGCCAAAAATCCTATCAGAGCGGTGTCGCGAGATGTCCGTTGCAGCCAAGAGGAAAGGGAGAAATTTCTTGTCTCAGCCAAAACCTCAGTCATACCCGCGCTGCCCAAACGTAAACCCGACCCAGCCGCCCAGCTCGCGGGATGAAATACAGCAAAGCCACATGTCACCAAGAGCCATATCCTTAGTGGGGGAAACCGCGGTTCGTAGTGGAGCTGTCCCGATTCACGCAGGATGAGCAGCTGGCACGGATCTGCGTGAGGTTTCCAATAAACCAGAACCGGCTGGTGTTTCCCTTCAAACCATTTTTACTAAAATAAGGTTCTTTCATGGAAAACCTGAAGTTCCGGTCATATTTTTCAAGATTTTTTTTCAAATAAATATAGTACTAAACCATAATTTTGCAAAGGTTGGAATTTTGACTTCTGAGGTTTCAGGTCCACGTTCATTTGAAAATTATGGGCTGTTAGCACTGGTGACATCATTAGTTTTGATTTTTGGTGGTACATGGTATTGACCTCCTTCACCCAAAAAGGCACACAGGACGGGTGAAATTCAGGGAGAATTAATCACGCTGCTGCAGGAGTTTGGTTCTATACAGTGGGAGAGGCAGGAGGCTGCAGAAACGGTCTTACTGATCCGGGAGCTGAGGACTCGCCCGGTGAACTGCGTCTACCCGTGTCTGATGTCTCCCATCCCCAGTCTGGGGCTGGCCAAGGGGGGACACAGCTGGGAGAAGTGACCCCCACTGCCCAAAGGGACACTCTGTGCCTTATGATGTCACGCTCAGCAAGAAAACCTCAAGGAAAGAAGGAGGAAGGTGGGATACAAGATGGTTACGGTTCCAGCCACCATTCCAGGTGCTGAGGTCCTGCTTCCCAGGAACCGGCTGGACATCTGCCCACCAATGGAAACTACTGAATCAATCCCTTATTTTGCTTTGCTACCACACACAGCTTTTGCTTTCCTTATTAAACTGACATTATCTCGATCCACGAGTCTTTTTTTTTGCCTTGATCTTCTTCCCATCCCAAAGGGGAGGGCAGTGAGTGAGATGCAGGAAGGGTGTTTGGCTGCTGGCTGGGGCCAACCCACCACACCGGCACGTTTGAAAAGTTTGGCTCATGTTTCTTTTCCCTTCTCTTCGTGCTTAGGAAGGGACTGATGGTGTCACCTGCCCCGCGTGAGGATGCTGTGGTGAGAGGCTCCTTGGCATCTCTAAGCCACCCCCAGGTTATCAAGACAAGAAACAGGGAAATGCCAAAAAGAAAAAAAAAAAATTAAAATACCCTTTTCATCCTCAGCACAGGGGTAGACTGATGTTTAACAAAGAGCTACAAGGGGGCACACGTGGAGAAATGAGGATCCAGAGACACCGGTGCAGCCAGTAGCCACTTCGCACACGTGATATCGGGGATCCCAGGGAGCGCTTTGGGTGGGAGGTTGTCATTACAGGCAGAGGAACTGAGCAGAAAACCCCACCAAACTGAGCATCCTTAATACACGTGCTCAAATACACCAGTCCTGACCCTACGCTCTGTCAGTGACAACATCACGAAAACCAGTTCCTTACCTCTCTCGCACTGGGGACCGGTGAATCCATAGACACAGGCACAACGGTTGGGTCCGATGCACCGACCTCCGTTCTGACAGCCGTTTTCACAGACAGCTATTTTGAAACAGAAAGAGAAATCAGTGATTCCTGCTCTTGGTGAAAGCCCGGTGAGCCTTCTGGTGCTGGCAGGACTTGGACTGTCACCTACTTGGTGTTGTTCACCCGTCAGGAGTCTCCTCCAAGCAGTGAGTATACAGAGAAAAATTTGATTTTTTTTCCCCCCCCCCTGGAAAATGACTTCCTGTTTATGAATGAACCCATTTATAAAAAGGCTATAAACTCTTCTTACACTTCAGAGGATTTCCTGCGCTCTGGAATCTCAGTTCATTCAGGTCAGCGTGGGGATTTAAATGTCAAGGTCAAGATGAACTGACACAACTGAGAAACTGCATAAAGGGAAATATTTAACGTATGACAACGGCAAAATGGGAGGAGAGGAGACCAGTCAGCCACTTAATCCCGCGTGCCCAAAGCAAAGAAGAACCAGTCTGATCAGCACACAAGTATTCATCGACTTCAAATCAGACCTGCTACCCCCAGCTGAAAACCTGCAGTCGGTCGTTTAGGACCAAAGCCAAAGGAGGAGGCGGCCGATGAGGTCCTGGGTGAGGCTCAGCTGACGGAACGGGACGCGGGAACGCTTCTGCCCGTGGGATGAGCAACTGCTGGTTGGGTTTGGGTGGGAAGGGACCTTAAAGCCCCCCCAGTGCCACCCCCTGCCATGGGCAGGGACACCTCCCACTAGCCCAGGTTGCCCAAAGCCTCATCCAGCCTGGCCTTGAACCCCTCCAGGGATGGGGCATCCACAGCTTCTCTGGGCACCCTGGGCCACTGCCTCACCCCCCGCACAGGAAAACATTTCTTCCTCACATCTCATCTCCATCT